AGAGACCAAACTTGTATAAATATTAATTTTTTTCCTATGAACCCATCATTTCTCCAATAGGGATTTATTTATTATTATTATTTATTGAAAAAGAGGGGTATTATAAAAAATGCGCATATATTTGCATTAAATCGTAAATTATTTCCAATCTCTGACTGTCAATTAATTTGTTGATTCAACTTTTGAGGCGGAAAAAAAAATTCCCAATTTTTTTTCTTTTTTTAAATAAACACGAGAAACCCGTAGGAATTGTGAAATTTATTAAATTTAAATATAATTCAGATTTGCGTATATACTATATATGTATGCAAATGGCGTTATTTTAGGATCAAAATGTGTTCTGATGTTGTGGAGGGTCGAGATAAATCGTCTAGGAAATTATCTTCGTCGAGTTGCTCGCGGAGATTCATCGGTTGCATGCACGCAAGCATAAACTTGTCTGGAAGCTCATTATTTATCGAATTGTCTTAATAGAATTATTTTGTATCCACTACTTCTCTTGCTTTTGTCCCCATTTTATTGCTTTTATAATTGTGAATAAAATACAAGTAGTCACGTAACTTCCTTTTTTTTTCTTTCAATTAAAAATTAATTAAAAACTTTGGATACTTTGATCGTATGACATACATTTTGCAATTTACTGCAAAAATATCGGAATATTCCTGCGTATTTTCTAAAATTATTTTTTTCTTTTTTCCTTTCTCGACATAATGGAAATAAATTTCAAGTAAATTGAAATCACATAAAAATGTAATTCAATATTGTAAAGTATATGTTTTGCGAGATGAAATAAAATTCACGTGAAAAGATAAAAGTTGGGATTAAAATGTATATAAAATTTCAAGGAAGATAAAAAAGTGGAGGGGAAAAAAAAGTAGAGTGAGTGATAAAATAAAATTTATGTGAATATATTGAAATGCTTGTTAGAATGTAATTGAGTCGCAGTAGTTTCTAGTTTGTACGCGATTTTGGAAAATAATAAACCTGAAATTTATTACCGCTTTTCGTAGGTGTATATATATCGACAATGTTTGTGAGCGCAAGAAATAATCAATTTCCCTCACGTTTTCAAATCACATTATATGATCATTAATCTCAACTCGATTTATGCAATCGCCCACGTTTATCCATTTTGCCATTCTATGAATTACTTCTAGTCCGATGAAAGTGTAGTTATAATATGTGGAATTTATCGATAAATTACAGATTTACCAAATGGCAATAATAATACAACAGTAATAAATTTCTTTTCAATTGTCTTTCAGGAAAATTAGATAACGTTTTTGTCATGTTGTTGATATTTTGAAATGGGGAGACTTTATTTACAAATAAACAAAAAAATGCAACACGTGCCATACTTGATTATTTTCGATTTTCGAGTAATACAAAAATATTTTGAAAAGGTGACATTCTTTCTGTGTTATCATAATAAATTCTCGGAATATTTTAATTGAATGGAAAATTTTCTAAGACAGAGATAATTTCCAACGATGATTGTATGTTTAGGAAATGAAGAAATAAAAGTGTAATGAAATTTAATGTGATTTTTTTATGTCCTTTTTTATATATATATATATATGATGAAGAATGGCACGGGAGAGACTGTCATCTATAAAAGTTTGAAATGTCCGAACATAGAGAAAAAGAGAGAGAGAGAGAGAAAGAGAGAGAATTTAACTACCACACTGAGAAAGAATCTGGTTGTGTGAAATGCCGTCCAATATGAATATCAAAGCATTTCGCTTCTGCAAACGAACGTTTCCCGTGTCCGTTGTTCGTTTGAGATAGTTCAGGTTTTACTCGTTAGTCAGGCTTATAATCCTCGTCGTATTTTTTTTTCCAAAAAGGGTTCTTTATATTATATATAGATACTTTTATATCTCTGTCAAACTCAAATCCGAGGTTACAAAAGGAAATTCCAAAAAAAGTTTCATTGTTTTCTATTGTTGAGGATTTTTTTTGCAATTAAAATTGGATTTTTTTGGTTTCGTAGTATTTCCAAATTTTTTTTTTCGATTTAAGACATTTAACAATATGGAAAATTTGAGAGATTATCAAAAGTATCACGATAGTATCAATAGTATCAATATTATGAAAATAATATCAACTGTCTTAAAATAATATCAAAACTATCAAAACACAACAAAAAGGGATATTTTCAATTAATAAATTTGGACAATTTTTTATAAAATTTACAAATCTCAATTTCAGATCATTATTAGTTAGAAAGGAAAAAACTGAAAAAGAGGCACAGCAATATTCCTTAAAATATTATTAGCCACAATATTTATTTCAGAGAATTTTAGTCGATAGAATTTTCATTTAAAGTTTTCATTTCAACTGCTTATTTGCAATTCTCGATTTTTTAGTTATCAAAAATTTTACTAAACAAAATATTAGGTGAGTCAATTTTTATTTATTGGAATTTTTAATTGAAAATCCCTTTATTTAAGAGAAATCTAATCGAATCATATTTTACTATGCGGAAAGAAAATGAGTATTACACTTTCTAAAAGTAATTTACAATTTGGGGAGAAAGTCCCACAAAAGCGAAATTTTGAGAATCAAACTAATGTAAATTGAATATATTAATTAGTTAAATTTGACTATAAAGTATTTAGATTTTACTATAAATAACAAATTAGTAATTAGAATTGAAAAATAAATTAAAACCATAAAAGAAATAGTAATTAGAATTTTACTGTAAATTAATTACTATCAATTAGTAAAATTCCACTAGAAATGATTCAAATTTTACGATAAATAAATTAAAATTTTACTATCAAGTAATTAAACTATTCTAGGAAATATTTAGATTTTACTATAAATTAGTAATTAAAATATTATTATAAACTTTATTATCTTTACTAACAACCTCTTATATTTTACTAGGAAATTTTTCGATTTTACTACAAAAGTTAATTACATTTTACTATAAACTAGTTACGTTCTACTATAGAAGCCAGTTTAATTATTCAAATTTTACTATAAACTAGTTAAATTTTACTATAAATTAGTTAAACTTTACGAGAAAATACTTAGATTTTACTATTAATTGTCAATTAGAATTTTACGAAAAACTAATTTAACTTTACAATCAGTTATTTAAATTTGTACATTAAATTATTTCGATTTTACTATAAATTATTAAAATTTTACTATAATTTAGTTGAATTTTATTACAAGCTAATTTAAATTTTTTATACCAATTAGTTATTTTACTAGTAGCTGATATGATTTTACTAAAAATCAATCGAATTTTACGAGTATCTAATTGGATTTTACTATAAATTATAGTCTGCGTGCAAATAATTAAATTTTATTATTAATTAGTTAAATTTAAACTATTAATTCTTTAGATTTTACTATGAATTAGTAAAATTTTATACTATAATCTGGTTAAATTTCACTATGAACTAGTTCAAGTCCACTAAAAAATAGTTTAATTTTACATTCATTTAGTTAAAGATTAGTAGTTAAAAATTAGATTTTACTATAAATTAGTTAAATTTTACTTAGAACTTCTTATATTTTACAATAAATTATAGTTAACCTTTACTACAAGTTGATTGAATTTTACTGTAAGCTTCTTTAACTTTACTATCAATTAGTTAAATTTTTGTGGACTAATTAAATTTTACTATATAGTAGTTAAATTTTACTACCAACTAGTTACAAATTGTACTATATAAAGTATTTTAATAGTTAAAATTCTCTGTAAACCAGTTCAATTTTACTGTACTATAAAGTAGTTAAATTTTACTACCAACTAGATGAAAATTTTACTGTACTATAAAGTAGTTAAATTTTACTACCAACTAGTTAAAAATTTTACTATATGAAGTAGTTTAATTTTACTATAATCTAGTGAAATTCTCTGTAAACCAGTTAAATTTTACTGTAAACTAGTTAAATTTTACTGTAAACTAGTTGAATTGTACAAATTGTTGAATTGTTAAATTTTACTAATATCTATAGTTACTATTTATAAATTTAACTATTTAAATTTTTACTAATAAATTTTTAAGATAATTATTGTTTTTACCATTTAATTTAAAAAGCATACAACTAATTTAGATAAAAAAATATGCCATGTAAAAATCGCTTTGTCTTTAACATCCCCTTAAATTTAAATTATTTTAAATTTAATTTAAATTTCGTTAAATAGAATTTTTTTTTAAGTATAATTTTAATTCATAGTAAAAATTTTGTTAAATAGAATTTTCTTTAAGTAAAATTTTAATTCAGTAAAAATTTCGTTAAATAGAATTTTCTTTACGTAAAAATTTTGTTAAATACAATTTTCAACAAGTAAAATTTGCTTTAAGTAAAAGTTTCGTTATAAATAAAATTTTCATCGAGTATAAATTTCGTTGAATAAAATTTTCGTTAAATAAAATTTCGCGTTATTTTAAAATCAAAATTATTTTCAAACCTATAGTTAAAAATTCTAAAAATTCTCTCTAATAAAACTGTAAATCCAATAAATAGTCTAATAATTTTTACCACTAATCAAAAATCCCCATTTCTGCATTTTTATAAAAAAAAAAATAGTGAAAAGTGTGTCGAAGGGCTAATTTTCTAAATAGTGATTGTCAAATTATTTAAAAGTAACCACCAATTATTAAATTACAAAAACTGGTTTCTTTTACTCCCATATATAAACTTATAATTGATTCGAAAAATTTTCGGCTCTTTCAAACGGGTTTATAATATACGCTCTTGAAAAATTATGACCCGTTTTTTTTTCAAAGTTCTACTCAAAGGGACGATTTGTACCTATTTCTTCTATAGTATATACGCACTTCTTGAATCTGTTCAACTCTTTAGTACTTTTTATTTTGAGAAAAGGACTTTCGAGTGTCTCTTATGCGTGTGTACAGAAAAAAAAAAAAAAATTACAGCGCGGCAACAAAAAAAGAAAACAAGTTTTATACAGGATGTATATATAAACGATATTAATATCATTTTTTTTTTATTTTGGTTTTGAAAAGACTCACCGGCTCTGAGTGCATCCATTGGCACACTGGGATAGGGGATGCTGTAGGGGTAGCCTTCTTTCCTGAGAGTCTTTGGCTTTCTTCTGGGTCGATACTTGTAATCCGGATGCTCCTTCATGTGCATGGCTCGTAACCTCTTTGCCTCGTCGATAAAAGGTCGCTTGTCGTCTTCGGATAACAGTTTCCATTCAGCGCCTGCGCACAAAAATGAAAAATTAAAATTAAAAATAAAGAATATGATCTGAATAATTAAAAGAGGAAAATTTATGTCTGTGTGTGTATGAGTGTATTCTTTTTTTTGTGTACAATGTGTGCGGAAATATAAAAGAGGGATTTTTGTAGGGAAAACAACTCTTTAATTTTTCTTTTCTGTCTTTTTTCTTTCTTTTTTTTTCTTTTTCTTTCCTGTTTCTTTTTTCTTTCCTTTTTCTTTTTTTTCTTTCCGTTTTCTTTTCATTCTTTCCTCTCACTTTTCTTTCTTTTCTTACTCTTTTCTTTCTTCCCCTTCTATTTTCTTTCTTTCCCTTCTAATATTTTCTTTCTTTCCTTTTTCTTTTCTTTCTTCCCTTTTTCTTTTCTTTCTTTCCTTTCTCTTTCCTTTCTTTCCTTTTTTCTTTTTTATTTACTTTTTTCTTTCTCTTTCTCTGTCTCTTTTCCTTTCTTTTTCCTTCTTTTTTTACCCCCTTTTATTTAAATGCTGTACAGTCTTTATTTACGTTTTTCGCGGAACAATAGAACGTCATTACAGCGCGAGTGGAAAATTTCTTTCTCACTTTGAAGCCTTAATAACGTGTGTAAACTGCCGCGCAGCTTCTCTTGTTCACGCGTATACAAAAAAATGAATAAAAATATTGTTTTAGAACTTTGTACTTTAAATCAAATTTACTTTGTGTCTTTTGTATTCTGTCACAAATTTTTTAAAATACAGTGCAATTTTGTCACAAAAATCAGAAAAATGTTTATTGAGAAAATGGTAAATGGAGAAATTTTTGTTTGTATAAATCCCTTGGTTTTTTTTGTAGAAAGAAAATTGTGATGTAAATTTTGTTTGCAATTAAGTTAAATATTCTCGAGGGATTTAATCTCGTAAATTGCCAAAGGCATTTAGTAATTACAGATTCAGGCATTCAAAATATTTGAAGGTATCTCGCTTCTTTTCCATTGTGGGCAGGTTTTTGTTCTGTAACGCGGTCCCAAAGGGCAAACAAAGAAGGGTCGTGACGAGGTTAAGTAGCAGACAAGAGACGAAAAAGGGATCAGAGAGACATAGGAAGGCTAAAAAAAGTACTTTCATATGTATGAAGACATTAATTTATAGTGAAATTCTCATTAGACTTGTATTTTGTCCTCATATATAATTCTTTTCTCACAATGAACAAAAAACACTTGTTCACAAATCCTCACTATTCACTTTTCTACTCACTCTCTCTTCAGTTGACTTTTATTCATTTTAATACTTCCCGAGATAATGGGAACGAGAAATAAGAAAGAAATTACTGCAGGGGAAAATTTTTTCATTTGTAGTGAGTTATTTTTCCGATCTGTAAATTTTAATTCTGCTTTTTCTTTTTTACTTTTTCTTTTTCTTTTTTTCCTTTTTCTTTTTTTTTTTTTTTGAAAAGAAAGATTTGTAAAGGAAAAATTTATAAAGAAACAAATGGAAAAATTTATAAAAAAAAAAAAAATGTGCGGAAAGAAAATCTCCGGGAGAAAAATTCAAGCTAGAAAAATTCTGCACAAAAAATGCGGAAGCCAAAAAGAAAATATTTGAAGACGAATAATAATTAGCTGAAGAAAAAATCCAAAAAGAAAAATCAGGGTTGCCACAAAAATTTAATTTTATTTTTTCCTAACTTTTTCCTGATTTCCAGAAAAATTTTTGACTTTTTCCCTGACCCTGAAAATTATTCTGATTCACACCAAAAATGATTAGATTTAAAAGAAAAATGTTGTATTACATTTATTTACGAATTTCTTTAATTGTTAAAATATTCAAAAACATCAATTATTTCTTTTTTAAATAAATATTTAATCATTAAGATTTTCAAACTCAAATCTTCTGAAATTCACTAACTTTTGAGAATAATATTATAAAACATGAAGAAATCGATCACTCCGAGTCTTCGACTCGGAGTCATCGATTTCTTTATGTTTTATAATAAATTTAAGATGGCAGAGTGATAAAATCATTATTTTATATCATCAGAGAATATTGTAACTATAAATTAAAATTTTCAAAGACTTTAATGTGAACCCTTTTCAAAATTCAATTATTTCTAAAAATTCACGCCATAATGCTTTTAATATTCATTTATTATATAAAATTTTAACAAAAATTCAATTTCAAATCAATTTTTATTAGTAAATTATTCGAGAATTCAATTGTTTAAATACAAAAATAAAAAATTTAATTAATAATTTAATTTTTATGAAGAATTTTATCAACATTTTTTTTAAATAATTGAATTCTTTTGGCGATTTTTAAAAAAATTTTTAAAATAAATGCAATTTTCTATCATTTTATTTAAAATTGTGCAAAATATAATTGAAATTCTGCGATAAGTTTTATTATTTATGAAAATAATTTAATTCTTGCAACGAATTTTATTAAAAATTTTTTTAAAGAATTGAATTCCTGTGAAGAATTTTATTTGTGAAAATAATTCAATTCCGGAGACAAATATTATTATTTATAAAAATAATTGATCTCTTGTGAAGAATTTTATTCAAATTTTTTTGAATAATTAAATTTACATAAAAAAATGTATTATTTGTGAAAATAATTGAATTCTTAAGAAGAGTTGTATTGAAAATAATTTAATTGTATAGGAAAATTTTATTAAATTTGCAATTTTATTAACTAAATCTTGCAAAGATTTTTGTCAACATTTTTTTAAATAATAGAATTTTTAAAAGAAGTTTATTTAAATTTTTTGAAATAATTGAATTTCTCAAAACTATTTTTTTTTTTTTGATTTTCTGAATATATTTGAATTCCTTTGAGAAACTTCATTAAAAAATTAAAAATAATTGAATTGGTGCGAAGAAATTTATAAAAAATTGATAAGTTTGAATTCCTGTGAAATTTCCATTAATATTTTGATTGAATAATTGAATTCGTTTGGAAAATTTTATTAAAATAGTAAATATTATAAATAATTGAAATGCGGAAAATTTTTTAAAATAATTGAAATTTTGCCTAGAATTTTATTATTTATAAAGATAATTGAAATTTTAATGAGAATTTTTAAAAATTTTTGAACATAATTGAATTTATCCGAAGAAGTTTATCACTTTTGAAAATAATATTGAATTTCTATAATCAGTTGTTCTTAAAATTTCTATTGAAATTCATTAAAAATTTATATTTTCTAAAATATCAAATTTAAACCTTTGAAGTTTATCTATTTATGAAGATTGTAAACGCAATAACTCTTTTGAAATCCAATTAATTTTGAAATTTTGAAGTAAAATTATTCATTAAATAATTTATAAGTATAATAATTTTATGATAGTTGTTTAAGAATTAAATTATTAAAAAGGAAATTATTATCAGAAATAGAAAAAATTCAAGGGTTTGTATTTGAATTCTTTGCAGTTTCATATTTTATGTGTAAAAAAAAAGACACCAAAATTCAGAATTTTCTTATAAATTCAAAAAATTATATTTTTTCCAGTACTGACGAAAAAATTGCAGATAAAAAAATATTTGCACAAGGTTAATTGGAGGAAGAAAAAAATTTGATGAAGAAAAGTTGTCATCAAAAAAGTATTTCAAGAAGAGGAATTTGCAGAAGAAAAAATATTTCAAGAAGAAAAATTCAGAGAAGCAAATTTACAGACAAAAATTTCCTAAAGACAAAATTGAAGAAAACAAAAAAATCGCAAAAGAGGAAAAAAAATTGCAAAAAAGAGAGAAAGACATAAGTTTCAAAATTTTTCGGTAACTTGACTGTAGTTCTCTGTGTGTGTGTGAGCGAGTGGAGAATTTTGTGTATAACTTTAAGGGGGTGGACGGAGGAGAGGCCATAGTAGTGGGAAACAGGCACCGAGTTCCGTGGACCGATTGTTTCCCCAAGAATTAATTACCACTTGTTGTGAAGCGCTGAAAACAAAGCGAGAAGTCTGGCATCTAGCGACGAGCGGAACCGAGACCAGAAACTCTCTCTCTTTCTCTCTCTCTTGCGTCTCCAACGTAATACCTATGTGACGCTATGGCCTTAACGGAACAGAACATCACAGAGAACATAGGAACTCAACTACTGTGTACAGAAACGTTACCCAGACTCCTGTATATACCATGTTTGAGAAACAATAGAAACAAAGGAAGTACCGTCGAACGTAACAAAAGCCCACGACGTCGTTGGGTGCCCGTGTACAACGTCTCTAAAATCAAAATCGTCCCCAACAATCCCACCCCTCCTCCGCCAGCTTTTCTTTTAGTTTCCATTCCACTTCTCATTTTGCTCATTCTTCTTCTGTGTATGCGATATTTTTTTTTTTTTTTTGAGGAAAAGACAAAAGAAAATCTTGTGAATTTTCTCAGAGACTTTTGTTTTTGAGATTGAGGGAAAATGGATTCTTTAGGTCTTTGTTCTTTTTGGTTTTCTTTTTTTGTTCGTAATTTTATTAAAATTGGTATAGATTTTTAAGTTTAGAGAAATTTGTTAGGTGATTTATTTGGATTTTTTTTAGCAACAAAGGCAAAATTAGTTGAGAGGAACGTTTGGAGACTGTTTTGTCAAATCGAGACTTGGGCTCTGAGTAGAAAAGTCGAAAAAATAGAAATAATAACGATTTTATTTTCTGTAGTAAAGTTATATTGCCAAAACAACGGTTCTGTTTTAAATTTAAAAAAGTTATTTTCCCAAAGAAAGAATATTGTTCTGAATAGAAAAAGTTGTTTTCTAAAAGCAAGCAAAAATAATTTGAAATTAATCCCCAAGTTTCAGTACAAAAACCATATTATTAATTGCAACCAATTTTCCCATTAGTTGAATAACATAAAAATACAAAGCAACATTCTTTCCATTTTATCGCGACTTCCATTTCTACTCCAACAACAACAAAAGAAAGTAATGCAACCATTATATCAATTTTGATGAAAAACGATTATTCGTTGACACAATTTTTTCCATGAAGAAGAAAAAAGAAAACATAAGCAAGAAAATGTAATTCTATTTCCGCCTTTTATT